GTAGAGGTTGGGTCCAAAAATTGTATACTAGGACAGAATCAACTTAGTTAATATAATAAAATAAAATAAAATGGTAATCATACCGAGATTTTCACTGTCCACATGATGATTGTTAACACGTAGAATTCACCAAAGTATCGCTATCATCCCAAGAGATTTAATAGTTTGAAAGGTCTTCCAACTTTAATGTGTTCTTTGTGTGTAAGGGGAGTCCGATTGTCATCATTATCACTCATATATCGGTAGCAAGCAGCAACTAATCTTCGTTCTAATCCTTTGAAATTCAACTTTTAACTAGTATGTCTGCAATATTTGTAAACAAACCCCCATAAATTTGTACAGAGTACAAATATACTTGCCGCAAACTTTTATATCTAATGTACTGTATGTCAGTAGCTAGTACCATAGCTAAATTGCCATTTTCAATTTCAACTGTTACCCTCCGGTATGGTGAAGACGACATGAACAATCTATTCTAATTTATCTAGGCACTTGGCCCATTTCTAACACTGACTGTTAGAAATAGGGGCACAAATTGAAAGACTGGGTTTTTGGAATCCCGGCCCATATCCAAAGTGTAAGTCAAAATTATAATAGGAGTTCTTTTTATATTATATTTCTTGACCGTTTTCAAGACAATGTCAGGTTTTCCATTTTCAAACCTATCCTGAATTTGAAACATTGTCGCGTTTTCGAGTCAAAACCCACTTTTCTGTTTTTGAGTATAATCCGCAATTAAAAACAAAACTCACTTTCATAACTTTCAAAATAAATCACTGAAAACAAAAATTATCTTATGAAGACTAAATTAACCTCTGAATTAATTCTAGAATCTAAGTTTCCACATTTTATCTGTTAAATCAGATTTATTTTAAATCATGATTTATTTTCAAGCATTTTAAACAAACAGTTTCCAGCATTTCTTGTTAATTCTATATTGCAAGAACAAATGATAATAATATTTTGATTTCTCAATGCTGCAATGATTGTTAAATTATACAAGAATAGTTTGTTTTTATTTCCAATTTTATAGATATTTTACCTTATAAAAAACCTTGTTTTGTTTCATTGCGTAAATACTTAAAAAATTGACATTGATATGAATTCCGGTAATTGTCTCAAAACCAGGATATGTTCCAAAAACGCGACATGAGCTGAAATCCAGTAATTGCTTCAAAATAGGGATATGTTCGAAAATGAAATCAAGAATCATCAAAAACTAATTCTCACGCCTTATTATTAGTCTAAAATTGACATTTATTGTTTCAACATACAGTTTTGCCATTTTTTTTAAAATATATGGTGTAACTTTGTTCTACTTGTCTTGGATTTAAAGATATATATTCTTGAAATAAATAACTTTGCAGATTTGGCCCATTTCTAACAATCAATATTATAAATGGGTCAAGTGTTAGTTTTGGAACTAATATCCTATATTAGGATAAATTTGATACTAATGAAACTTTTTTACTGTGTATAATATCTCGGTAAGAGCATAAATTCGTTAGTAACATTTCACCAGAAGGGATTGTTCCTAGAAGAAACGGTTTTTTAAGTGGAATGCATTTGCATTAACGAGATTTTAAAATTAAGTATATTAACGTTTTTTTCAATCATAGGAGTTCATCATTTTTCTCAACCTGTCATATGCTTCTCTTCTGGTGAAATTTTACAACAAAATTATAGTATTACTTTGAAATTATACACCTTAAAAACATATCATTTGTATTAAATGAATTC